CGGGGGTGCCATCCCCTATGCAGAGGATCAAAATTGTGATGGCATGTCTTCGGATCATCCTCCGGGATGTTTCCCAGACCGTCGCCAATAGCCCATTGTGCAGCTCTAGTGCGACGTAAATTAACAACAACAACAATCGTAAATAGTTGTATTTCATAAAATAAAAAAAACACAAGACATCGTGCTTGCGACGAATCGTCACTACGACAAGTTGTGCCTGCAACGAATTGTGCCCGAGACGAATTGTGCTCAAGATGAATTGTCGCTGCCACGAATTATTCCCACGACACACTTTCGCGATAACAAATTATGTGTGATAAATTGTCCCACGACCTGTTGCGCAAGACGAATTGACGAGACACCACTTGTATTGAATCAATATGTACATTGTGTTGATGTTCGTACGCCTAGCTAAAAAATTTATGGATATATGGACATATTTATGAAATATTTTTTTGTCGTTTTGCGTTTTTGTTTTGCTTTAAACTTTAAAAATAATTTTTGTTTTGCGTTTAACTTTAAAAATATCCAACAAAATTAAACAAAATTTTTGGAACATTATTATTTTAAATATTTTTTTTAAAAAATCGTTTAAAATTAAGCAAGATATGATAGCATTCAAAGTAGACTGCCATTAAAACATTTTAGTTTTTTTCCTTCATAATTTTGCAGTGAAACATATTTGGTAACGAATGAAAAAAGTCCGATTTGAATAATTTGAAAATGTTCGAAATCTAAATAATTTTTGTAAATTTTGGAAAGAAAGCTCTGACTGATAAGTGGTTTTTCATACGTTTCATTCTGAATCTTGAGATAAAAGTGTAAACCCGACTTAATACGATTTCTCAAGAATTATTCAAATCGATTTTGCTCAAACTTTGTGTTTTGCTATTTAAAATTGAGCTCCTTAATATGATGTAAAAATTGTATGCCTTACAATTCAATATTTTTTCCGACTATTATAAAATAAAATAATAAACATTTACTAAAAGTTATTTTTTAGCATGGAATTATCTTAGGATAAACGACGTTTATAATTGTCTCAAAATGTTTCAATTCTCTCAACAAAAAAATTATCGAGATATGGCAAAATATGTAAAATGTAAAATTTAATAAATTCAAACTTAAGGCCGAAAAACCAAACTTTACTCTTTCAGACAGTGAAGAACGATGATGAAATATCGTTCACTATAAATATCTTGTTTGTTATTGAAATGGGTTTCTAAAGAAGGTTTTAGTCATGCATTAAAAATATGATATGAAAGATATATTAAAATATATGAAAATAAAGATAGTTAGCAATTTATTTGAGCATTAATTTTAAAATATTTGAATAATGGTTTTTTATTACTATGTATGAAACTATGAAAATAAAGATAGTTGGTAATTTATTTGAGCATTACTTTTAAAATATTTGAAAATAATGTATTTCTATCTCTTGCATTTTTTTGTACTCTCATAGCAATTTTTTGATTTAAGAAAGACCTTCTCTTGTAGCTCACGTTAATGTTGTTTGATTTGAAAATTATATCATACAAATACATTACAATAAACAGTTGTAACCGTTTGTTTTGTATATGTAGTCTATGGAAATCCTATAATTGCTTTTTAAATTTAGGATAAATCATAACCAATTGGTGTAGAATACAGTAACCCATGACTTTTTTACATCGGTTTAGTAGAATACGTAGCCTGTCCCACTGTTTTATAGAATACAAGAAACTATAACTTAATATTGGAAATTAAAATATATATACAAAAATCTTATCTTTATGAAATAATTTTCAAAACAAATAGTGTTTCTAACTTTAAAAAATAAATTTTTTTAATAAAGAATATTGCAATTAATTTTTGATTAAGGTTACTGTGGTAGTTCTCGATCAAAATCTCCGAAATTTAAATATTGATCACCTTTAGATATTAACAATAGATAAAAGATAACTTTTAAAATCTTCGACGTCAAAGAACTCACTAGTGTGACCTTAAATTTTATAGGAAATGCTCAGAAACCCATAAAGAAGATTGTTTGTTCTATTCGGAAATCAAAATAAATCCATTTATATATTCAGGAAAATGAGACGATGAAATTTTTTTTAATAGTTTATTGGAATTTATGTTTCGTTAGATACGTTATTCCATTAGCAAGAATAATTAATAAACTAATGACTTGATCTCCATTATCTTTTTTTAATTAATATTGAAAATGGAAGTAATTAAAGAAAGATATAATTGAAGGAATTTAAAGTGCATTTTTTCATTCAAATCCTTTAATCATTTTAATTTATCTAAATTTACTGCTTAATATTATTGAAGTATGCTAATTAATAAATTAACTATATGAAAATGGGGATTAAAAAATAACTGATTATTCTAGGTTTGATATTCCTTTAATTAAATTTCGCGTACGATAAGTTCCAGTACTTTATTTGCAATATTAATTTTTTTTAATTTTAAATATATACTGAGCAATATTAATAATATCGATTCATTATTCATTTCTTTCTACCCGCATACTATTAGTAGTATAATTTTTTTTTTATCTAATTTGCTACGATTAATCTTTAAAAGCAATCAAGCATTATTATTATTTACATTTTTTTATTGATTTTAAGATTATTTTTTTTTTAAATTTTTTAACAAAATGTTTGGGAAAAAATTACCTTAAAAATAAATATTTAAAATTTCAATTAAAAATTATAGATGCATTTAAAATATAAACTATATACAGTCTGTAAAATTAAAAAAGGAAAGAAAGAAAAACTCAAAAGTTTTTAAATTATTGATTAAATTTTCCCAAATTTTTGTTTCGAAGAAGTAAAGGGAAATATATCAACTATATTGTGCAGACTATATTTCACGTTCCAGTCGAATAGCTTTGAGATTTAAAACTTTAAAAATACTTCTGAAATTTTATTAATCAAAAGTCATTCGACCGATTTCGCTTAAAGTTAAATTGTAATGTACCTTAAAATTTAAAAACTTTTCGACCATTATTAACATAAATAATAAAAAAAATAATGAATTACGTTAAAATCTATATCTAGCACAAAATTATCCTCATATAACTAAGGTTTATAATTAAGAGCATAAGTTTTCATAGAAATTTCGTAGAAGTAGCGAAATATACAAAAAGTAAAATTAACATTTTAAAATTACATTGAAATATTATAAGGGGACGGAACTTTTTGACCCCTATACTGATTATTGAATACTGATATTCAGACCAAGGCCATGTATTGCAAATTACGACCTTATATTAAAAAAAATTGTGAATAAAAATGTGGATCTTACATTCTTTTTTTTTTCTCTTTAATTGACCTCCTCTCGAAATATGAAGGTTGCACCGTATACAGCAGTGATTATCAAACTTATTTCTTTTACCGCCCCCTTTGAAAATCAATTATTTTTCAGCGCCCCCCCCTTTTTTTATACACCACTAAAACTTAAAAACCACAATTTCATTACTTTAATTAATTTAGTTATATATTAGTCGGTTCTGATGTTTAAACTTGCATTCTAAACTAGAAATTTTTACCAGTGAGAGAAAATAAAACCCAACTTTATAATATTAATAATATATTTTAATCAAATTAAAAGAAATAATATAAATATATAATCAGTTTTCGTTTTTATACTAATCTAATGAGATGGATGAATTTGATGATATTTAATAAGTTTGTTGATATCAGGTTCGATTTTACTCAAAAACAGTCGTAAGTCGCCGCGTTTGGTTTCTTGCAAATGATTTCTCTTTTTAGTAAGCAATGTTGCCACAGCGCTAAATCCACGTTCACACAAATATGACGATGGAAATGCTATCAAAAATCGTTCAACGATAGACCACAATCCAGGGTACAACTGCGGAATTGACTTTTGTAGCCAAAATTGTTGGTAGCCATTTTTGTATTTGATTTTTATTTCCTCGTTCGTTGTCAGTTCTATAAGTTCTTCTTCCAACTGGGGTGATATTGCTATGTTGACATTTGAAAAAGGATCTAACACCCAGTCTGGTATTTCCAATTTCAAAATGTCCTGGAATCTTTCAATGAAATCACTGTGAAGATTTTCCAAATGTTGGCAGTAGACGAGCAAGTCGTCGTTGTAGCAGGATACTGATAAATTGGAAATCTTCTTACAACTTGATTCACCAACTGAAAACTTGTTACAGCTTGATTGCGTACGGTGTGCGGGCTATCTTACTAAATCTATGTTAAGTATTTTAAGTTTTTATAACATCATACAGGGTAGAAATATAAACTAATTATTCGTTATTGTGTAGTAGGTGGTTTTTAATTTTAGTGAAATTTAAAATACTATATAAAGTAAATGAAATTACAAATTATACATCGCCCCCCTAACCCACATCAACGCCCCCCTTTTTTTCTGGGCCCCTTAACGCCCCCCTCTAGGTTTCAAACGCCCCCAAGGGGGCATTATCGCCCACTTTGAGAAAGAATGGTATACAGGAATGAATTGCTCTTTCTTTTTATTTTGTACATTGGTCAACGGAGACTTATTTGCATGCTGTAAAGTTTCCAATCAAATCGGAGAAAAAATTGGAGTTATTGTGCTGCAAGTGTGAAAAATGGTGTTTTGAGTTATGGTGAAAAAGTTTGCGATAACGTGCAAAAATTTCTGTATGCTTTTAGGATAATCTTACAATAATGTATTTACTGTAGAATTAGTTAAAAACTAAGTTTTTAAGAAATAAATTTTTTTTTCATTTATAGTGGTTTACTTCCATAAAAGTATGCCAGCAATCTTCTAAATAGGAAGTCATTAAATTACTTTAGTTAACTATGGAGAAAAGCATACGAAAATTTAACGCTTTAATGCTATCCATAAGATTAATGTGTAGGTTGAGGTGTGATTAGTTCTAAATAAAAATGTAAACAAAAAATAAGCTTTATTAATAACTGATAAAATACGAGCAAATAAATTTTTTTCGAAGCGTTGAAATCCACTGTCAAATTATAGAAGAATATATTCAGACAAAAATCTTGCAGTTATTTGAAAATTATTTATTAACAGTTAAATGAGGATGAATACACAAAAACAAACATTGCCTGAAGCAGATCTTTAAATTGTCAGTCTCTCTCGATAACATGTATAGTTCAATGATAATGAATATATGCTCATTCAGATGCTTCAAAGTGATATAAAAAGCTGAACTCCATTTAAAAATTTACGCATGTTTTTTTCTTCTTCATGAACCTAATAAAATAAGAAGATTAAATTAGTACAGAGCAGTTTGTAATTTTTTAAGTCATTTATTTCTTAGTAGTAAGTATATTACATAATTTTCATTATCTCCTAAATTTGATTTATGACGCTTTATAAAAAATTCACTATACATAATCACTTTTTACACGAGCCAATCAGATGAAGTGAAACGCCAGATTTGGATTTAATCATTAATAAAAATTTATTTTATAATCAGAAAATTAAAAAATTCAATTATGTTTTTATGTACGAATAATGTAATAAATCAACCTTCTGTTAATTAATAAACTCAAATTTAAAAATAAAATTAATGAATTTAGAAACAATTTGTTAATTCTAATTTGTTAAATTACTCTTTGAAATTTACTCAAAAGAAGAAAAAAAAATTCAGAATTGTAAGGACTAAATCACGTCGACTTAGCATCTTACGTCCAGCGCTAAATTAACTAGTGACGTAAACTTTTGCCGTCACTTCTTATGTTGTTGTACAGTGTGCAAAATAAAAAATGGATCACCCTGAATAAATTTTGATCTAATGATCGGATCTTCACGTTCTTTAATGGTTCGGGGGGATGACCTGAAATGAACTAATTAATCAGTGCAGACGATATTTTACGTTACGAAATCAAACACAAAATCGTACTTTCTCTGTATAAACACACCATTGTTTCAACACATTTGGATTACGGTCTCCCGAAGTATAGACGGAAACCGCAATCTGGGAAATATGATCCCAATGTGTCAAGATAGCGGTCTATGTTTGGACCCTTTAATGTTAATTTTACATTCTGAAAATTGTTTTGCACACAATTATAAAATTCGTTTAACCAAAGATAATTTCATGTAAAAACTAATTTTTAATAAATATTTATTATTTTTTTACATTTTATTTAATAATAGTCGAAAATATTTTGAATCTAGTTTTGAAAAAGGCGTATTTTTAAATTTCGATTTCTCAGGAACTACTCGACCGATTTTGCTCAAATTTTGTATTTTATTATTTAAAATTACAATCTTTCAAATGATGAAAAAATGGTATATTTAGCATGTAAAACATACATTAAAAAGTTTCATGACATGGTGAAATACACAAAAAGTAAAACAAAAGTAAAACTTTGGATCGCAACTTTTGGGTCAAAACTTTGGTATCATATTTCCCAGATTGACACTACCATTTAATATTGGGGTTAGAAATCCGGATCCGTTTATAAAATGGTATTCAGCACGTTTTTGTGCCTGTTTTGTAACTTAAAACTTCATCTGCACTAATTAATTAGCGCATTTGTGTATTAGAACGTTAAAATCAATTATTAGATCAAAAGTTATTTTGTGTCTATTTACTTACATATTATTTATTTCTTACTTAAAAGTTATTTGTTGTCCGCGTATTTTTTGCGTACTGTACGTGAGCCAATCATTCGAGGGTACATTTGTACCTACGCATTACAAATCAAACGTTGTCATCGGTTTCAACTACCTCAAAATAGAAATGTTACCTTAGGTGACTTTTGGCACACATTTAGGACATCTATCTTCTGGAAGTTTTTCTTCCACAGTTGTAGGTCCACATTTAATTTGTGGACAGGGGATAGGGTGGCAAATACAAGTTGGACATCCGTAAGGGCTGAACCTTTCAAAACGACAAGGCAGTTCACAATGCATTGCGAGACACTTAATCTTCTCTCCTAAAAGCAACAAAATATTTATGCCACAACATTCGCCAAAATCTTAATACAATGATTTTTATTCAATTAAAAATAAAAGTGGGCAAGCAAAGAAAGTTAATTTACAGAGTAATATATTTTATAAATTTTGTTCTTTTCAACATTTTCCCCCCAAAAAATATTTTTTAAGTTTTGTTGTAGTTCATTTACATCGCACTAGAGCTGCACAATGGGTTATTGGCGACTGTCTGGGAAACATCCCTGAGGATGATCCGAAGACATGCCATCACAATTTTGATACTCTGCATAGGGGATGGCACCCCTGCTTCGGTAGCCCGACGACCTGCACGTGAAGTCGACCACTTTACAGTAGAACAGTTTAGCGAGGACCTATACAGCACACCCTCGGTCCCTATGCAGACTGATCTAAGTGGTCACCCACCCTCACAGTAACAGCAGCCAGTTATGCTTGACTTCGGTGATCTGCTGGGAACCGTGTCTTAAAAAAGTCCCGTAGTGGTGTGATCATTAAGTTTAATGAGCATGAAAGTGAAACAGAAAGTGTCGTTCCTCGAATAACTTTTAACCGAATTATCAAATTTTTCGTATGTAAGTAAAGCAATTAAAATATACTAATTAGGTAACAAATAATTAAGTTTAAAAAATTTCATCCAAAAACGTACATTCAATTAAAAAAAATATTAGTATTTTTTGACCAGTTGAAGTTTTTGACCAGTTGAAGTTTCAGCCATTGAATGTTATTTTTTATTTAAGCTCATTTTGATTCATTTTACTTGCTAAGGGTGAGTAACCAATTTTTTTTTCTCCCACTCACAAATATCATTTATCTAAATATAATTCATAACAAATATTCTGAATATTTTTATAATCTTAAATTCAAAAAAAGTTATACTCTCTTAAGCTGTGCAGTATCAATTGATTAACTCTAAATTTCAGTCAATTGGACAGCCTCAGAGGTAAATAGAGATTTTTAAAACATTTCACTTAGTTAATAAGTTCTTTATTTATTTATGTAGTAATTAAGTAAACGAATTTTTTTAAATTTTGCTCTTTATTTTTACCCGGTGGGCACCTGTGAGCCTTAATCACTGAGGTGAGCATATTACCCACGCCACAGATACCCATTCATATCCACGAACGAACCCACAACCATTGGCCTCACAGTTAAGCACGTTAACACCGGCCAAGTTTCCGAATCCAATCGAGATATAAAAGATATTGATTATTATTGAAATATTAAAAATTTGTAATTATTATTTTTTAAATTTATATTTTCTTGGAATAATCTTTTTGATTAGCTGATCTGTAATTCTGTGCATTTCTTATTTGAGAATTTAGAGTCAGAGACGAATTAAAAGAATAGCAAATAAATTCACTCAGAATACTCACTTACTCAGAATAAATTCAATATTGCACATAAGACGATGCATTACAAATAAATAATTATGAATTTTTTGTAGTTTTTCACGAAAAAAGGTTTTAAGAATAAAAAAATAACTAAAAATAAACAAATAAGGGATTAAGAATTATTTGCATCTCTAGTAAAAAACTTAAAAATCTGAATCTTAAATATTTTCATTTCCTATCTGGGATGAAACCATTCGGTGAAAAATTTCGAAACTGTTCTTATTTCTTACAACCTTTTAGAATGACAAAACCGATATTTTTGATTAAAAAATATCAATTCTCAAGCCAAATATCCTTTCTTTCTACATTAAACCGAAAAGTTAACTCAATTTTGGCAAGAAAAAGAAATATTAGAATAAAACTTCTTTGTAACAACTTCACTACACCGTATAACAAGTTTACGCTCGTCCAATTGAACTTGATCTTGAACTGAATTCAAATACAGTGTACCTGTCAGCGAAGCGGACACTTCACACTTTCAACTGAGATGATGCCCGTAGGTGCCTAGAATAATGTCTTTGTAAAAAGAGAAATGCCACAAGTAAATTGTGGTCGTCTTGGGTGGGTGTAGGCTTGAAGGTGCTTCTCTGACTTATCTGCTAGTAGGGATTTGAGAAGGTTCAGGAGTTCCTGATCCTTTAGTAGCTGTTGTAGTTCTTTGAAGATGAACAGGAATATGGTCGGCCAATTCTGTTTACCCAAGTATTATATACTGACGTCATAAGCAATCCCCGCCTCTTTTTGTGTCACGAGAAGCTAGTTTCGTTTTAAGCTAATTTTGAGTTATGATCTTAAAAATTACAGGTCAATTTTGAACATACTGATTTGATTTTTGAGAGTTTTGTGTTATAGACTATTCAAAATCATCAAGATTGCGCGATTACCCTACGCATGCAGGTTCCTCATTAGTTTCTATTTAGTCATTCTTATTAGATCTTATAGATATAGACACTGGAAAGATAACATAACTCCGATTATTAACAAACTAAATAAAATTGATTATCATATCTTAAATATGAATTAAAACTTAGCAGCAATTTAGTTGCATCTAATGTCTTCCTAATCAAATGAATGCCTGAATTATTTTTTTTACCTGTCTTACCACTACAAAGACACATTGGGCAGCGCTCCGTACCACTTGGTTGCCGTTCCATTTCACAGCCAGGGCCGCATTTTGTTTGACGGCAAGCTGGATCTGATACAAAAACACTGTAAGGATTCGAAAGCAAAGGAGAATCTGAAAAAATAGAGAATGTAAATAACTCCCATGACATGAATTGTTGTAGTTTTATGCGTAAACAAAGCTTTTCTAATGAATTAAGTTATTGGTAAAATAAGACATCACTCGTATAATTTTAATTTTAAATTTAATACTTTTGCTATTATTTTTGAATCTTGCAAAGAGTATTGCGTTTATAAAGATGTAACAAGTTAAATTTTACCAAGTGCAAATACTTGGAATCTTGTACTTTTTACCGCATAATTGATAACAGAATTCTTAGCGCTTTCAAGCTGCATCTAGCGTATTATGACTAATGTGCAACTGTAGTCCGTTTAATAGTTTTCATTTTTAAAGTTAAATAAAATATGTTTATCAGAACTTAGACGATTGAAGTCAAATAAAACTTTCTGTTCCTTAAAGTTAAAAATATAAATAGCATCTAAAATTAGGAATAAAATGACAGATGACGTGTTTAAAATTTCTATGTAAACATTTTTAACTGTTTTCAGCTGTAGTCTTCTACCAGTAAAAGCCGAGATTCTACATTGTTTTTTGTGACACAAACAGTGAAAATACTCCATTGCAGTCGCAATATTTGCCTCCATGCCGTTCCAGTTAATGCTCTTAAGAAATGGTATCAATTTTGGACTGACTTTCACTGTTAGTGGAGTTAAAATTAAAAAAGTCGAATAGAATATAAATAAGAGAAAATAAAAAAGAAGAAACATTATCTCTCACGTTTTGGGTGGGGGGAGGAAGGTTTGCAGCGGATAAAAATGAAACGAAAAACTTGTTAATTCAGTAATGTATAAAAGTCATAATTCGAAGAAAGGAATGCATTTTTTTCTCTTTAAAAATATTTGATTATACGATTGATGAACTTACACTTCCTTTGGTATCGATCACAAACACAAGTAGGGCATGGTTCAGCATTGTAATCGACTCGACATCCTACGTCACACTTAGGAATCGAACAAGTCCTCTGGCATTGACATGTAGGGCATTCATTGTTCCCAGGTACTTCATCACATCCTGGATCACATTTTACAGGAGAACAAAGAGGACCTAATCCTATACAATAAAATAATCCTATCAAAATCATTATCTTGTATTAATTAAAGTTGGTCTGTTTTTTTTTCTTTTTCTTTACCCATTGGCAAAATGGGTCATGGTTTGGATTTCACAGTGTCCTAACTTTTCAACCACAATAATCAAGAGTAATAGTAAACAGTGCGCATGCGTTGCTATGACGACCACTGCTGTTTGATAATTTTTTAGAAGTCTTTTTTTTTTCACTTTTAATTTTGTTATGCATTAAATTTGTGAGTTTATTTTTGAGATATGGGACCAGAGAGATCTCATAAATACTTCTTGAGTTGCGAATAAAAGAGAATTTCTTCATTTGAACTATATTTTTGATTTTATTGTTTTAATTAAGAATCAGAAATTCTAACCTACAGTTCAAACTGGATCGTTTTCAATACTGATTCAAGTGAATATCACAAATAAAGAGCGTCCAAACTGATTCACACTGTCTCAAAAGTTAGAATAAAAGCAAGAAAAAAACGATGCAAAGCCTAAACTTTTTGAGGCTGAAAAAGCCAAAGCCAAAGAGCGTAGATAAGGATACCTTAAGCGGTACACACAAGCGGAAAAACGAAAGGATTCCGTTCGCAAACGCAAGCATGAAGCCCATCCCTCACAAAAGTACCATAATGGTTGAGAGAACTGAACCCTACCGAAGAGCGAATGGTAACTCTCCGAACCCCTTTCATGCAAATATGAGAACTCGGTGTTGATCACCAGTTAGGGATAAAAGGATCCATTGTCAACTTACCCAATGACTTGCACAAGACTGTAGACTGTCCCCCACGCAATATAAATGATTCATTCGCCATTCATGTAAAATTAAAAAAAAAAAAACCGATCTTTCAAATCATATTTTATATATGAACTTGTGAATCCGAAACGGGTGTATGATGCTGCTTACAATCTCCATCCAGCACTAGTGTACAAATCTGAAAATTTTAATATTGATCTCGATTGGCTGTTCAATGTCTATTCAATCATCAAAAGAATTTACACAGAATGTGTCTGAGTTGTGTTTAAACATGTCTGCGATATTGTATACCGAGCAGTTCAGGATTAACAGTTAAAGATGTCCAAGATGAAAACACAATAAAGTTTCTTTTCCAAAGAAAATTAGACAACTATTTTGCCACTGGGTAAATTGTGATTTCCTTGCGGCGATCACAATTTATTTTCGTTTTTTTTAAATTCTTTTTTTCTATTTATTTACTTTCTTATTCAAATTGTGTCAACAATTTTTCGCGAAAAAATTTGATACTTAAAAAAAAGTTGTGCTATATGTCTTTAGTTTTTTTCAGTTGCTCAGAAAATAGGAACAAATTCTACCAACAAGTCTTTTATTTTTATTTTTCATTAATTTCATTAATTTTTTTAATACATTTTTCAAATAAATTGTCCTTTTGGGAAGTCTGCAAAAATCTATTCTTAACACGCTATTTTTTTTTTACTAATCTTATATTTAGCAAAGAGATTATTACAAAGGGGACCTAAAAATGTAGAAAATTTATCGGGAAAGGAATAACAAAATAACACATTTTTACAACAAATAAATGTGAATGTTGAGATTCAGTTGTGTTCAAGTTTGGCAGCTGATCTTTCTTGGTTATTTTTAAAATCCTTTGGTGTAGAATTTTATTTAATATCAACTTTTATATGATTTATGAGATTTATCAGAAAGAAATTCGAATTCGCAATAAATTCTAATAAGTGTAAGATAACTTATTTATTTTGCTTATTCATTCCCCAGCTCCTACTAGGTTTTTCAAATCATAGTAAAAATCCCTGAAAAGCACAAAATGAACTTTCAAAGAAAAAAGTGGGAAAGTAAAACCGAAAGATAATATTTTGTCAACATTCACCGCAAATTTTTACCTCCCTTTTTTCAGAAGTTGAATACTGACTCAAGAAGAGTAGATTTAGAACTAAACTTAATGGAAATCACATATTCATTTATAATAAAAAAACTGTAGTTTTCATCACTCGAAACTCATGAAGAATCTATTTTGTCTTATGAGTAGAAACGAATTTTATGTATAATTATCTGTTTCCTATCTACCATAAACTGGAAAATAAGTAATGAATTAGGACATTTTTTATTTTGAATAGGCTTATTTAAATACAAACACGTCCCACCTGATTTGCGTTAAAAATTTCCAACACAAGTTAGTGGTTAACTCAAGAAAAAAATATAAAATTATTTTTAAAAAATTATACTTTCCCACATATGTATCTTTTTCTTCGATTAGGTATGGATACAGATTAAAAGGTTTTCGGAATCACTAAAAAATGAATAAGTAAAAAGTAAAAAAAAAATAAACATGCTTATAAAACTTTATGCGTTTTGTGACAGGCATAAGCCATCTCATTTTTCATTTTTTTAGTTGCTTGTTGGCGTTGGTAGAATTTTTCTCCTATGCCAAGTAAAATACGTTAAAAATATCCCAAATAGTAAAACGCAAATGCTTTTAAATCAAAATTATACGTTAAATTTACACAGTTACATTTTTTTGATAAAAAACATAACTTAATACGTTACCAGGATTGCAATTGCAGCTTGGACATGGACGAGTTGAATAATCAATTTGACATGGTGAGTCACATTTCGGCATTGTACATCGAACACCAAAAGGTTTTTCTAAAAAATACAACAACAGTCAAGCATTAACGTCGATAATTTAAGCTGTTTTATAACGATATTTTTCACGTGGAGCACGTTTTTTAATGATTTTGATGAAATTTATAAAAAATTGAGAAAACTTCCAATTCCTTTTTTTTTTAACTTCCTTCTTTTAACAGTCAAAAAAGTTTTCGATGACAGAATACTTTTTTGTAGTTGTTTTTACCTCTAAAGGAAGCGTTTTATTTAGTGAGATCAAAATTAATACTTTAAAAATAAAACAAAAAATGTTTTTGATTTGAATCCAATAAAAATCTACGAAATAAATATTTTATTTGCTTTTATTGTCCACTACAATTTTTTAAGCATGCAAAATTCCTTCAAGAAGCACTGAGTAATTATTTGTTCATCATTTATTCAGATTATAAAATCCATCAATAAATTTAGCATGGTGCATTAGTTTATTATTTAATAAAATTTCATGGAATCAATTTTCCATGTCATAACTTGAGACTAAATAAGTAAGAATGCTGAAATTACTTACGTTCATTTTCACATTTACAACTAGGGCAGGGTTTAGTAGAATAATCCAATCTGCATGGCAAATCACATTTAGGCGGCGAGCACATAATTTTTGGAATATCTTTAAAAAAGAAAACATTTATTCGTGAAAATGTTGAAGTAAAAAGAGTTTCTAAAAGATTTGCATTTTAATTAAATTACACATTCAGAAAAATAAGTTGTTATTTCATTTCCTTTGTACTTTATTCAATTATGCATCAGAAAAACCTTAAAGAGAGTGGTGCAAGAGCGGACTAGTCAAGTAGAAGGACCAACCCAATTGTGTATTGATTAATTTATGGCGTCTGCGTAGGTACTTTTGCTTTATTATTTCATCACTCAATTGTTTTTAAGCTATCCTCATTTATTAGTCATAGAATTATTTTTTGTCCAGCTTATACTGAAAATTCATACCCTAACAATGAATAAGGATTTCTTCCTATAATATCACTGTTCTTTACCGTTTGGATAACCTCTGCTCCCTTGATGTGTGTCTATGCCTGGGCCACGAAAGCTGCCGTGGAGCAACGGACAACTACATCCAAGGTTGAAAAAAAGGTTTAACTGGACAAAATTTATTCCCTTCTTCGGAAATGTGTTGTTTACATTTTTTAGACCCTTTATACAAAATCGTATTTATTATGTAGATGTGAAGAAATGCAATTTTCTTTCTTTTTTTTTAAAAAAAGGCTAATTAATAAAAACTCTATTTTTTTTAAACGAGTTTTGGTCACACAGTTCCAGAACACTCTTCTTTCACTTGTAAATGACGTACCAACTACAAATGTCAGCTACTTTTTCACTGAAACTCTTGTGTATCTAAATTTCCCAATAAGTTAAACAAACATACCTGATTTTACCCTTCTACTGGGGTAAGCAGAAAAAGAAAATCATTTATAAAAAAAGTTGTACATCAATGACATTTAAGTAATGTAATATTGTACACAACTAAACAATGAATATCTTAATTAAATCTGACAGTTTTTTCGATCGCACAGTTTAGCTACAAGAAAAAAAAAGAATTATTGTTTCTGATCATACTTAGTAATTTGACAATTAAAATATTTAATTGAAATAATCCGGAAAAAAAAATTTGAAACAAAGTTTCAAATATCAATTTTCTTATTTACTTTTTAAATTTGCATAAATTATCCAAGCAAATGCACTATTCTTTCAACAGGTTGTATTAACAATTATTTTTAAAAACCACAACATCGATGTTAATTTGCTAATGGATATTTTTTTAAGGAATTTTTATACCTATCAATTTTAGTTTGGTAATCTTGGAAATTTAAATTCTGATCACCAACCACACCCATTACAAAAAAAAGCTTAGATTAAAATAAAATGTTTGAACCTACTTGAGGATTCACATGAGCAGCTTGGGCATGGTGTTGTACTATAATCTATTTGACAACCAGGGTCACATTTCGGCGGGGAACACTGGAGAGTAGGAAGAGTTCCTGGAAAGATTATACTAAGTTGTAAAATAATTATATACCATAAATAAATCCAAACAACAAAATTATTTCTGTATAACTTTAACTCTTCAAAAATATTCCAAAATATTATTGAAATCGAGCACAAGCAAATCCCGTGTTCCATCTTTTGCAAAATTCTGTTACAAATTCTGTTCGTTCAAAAATCATATCAATTAAGTATTAAAATATTACCTACTTTACACAAAACAACGTTATACAAGCCACGTTAGTGAAGAAATAACGTGACGTTAGGCGACGATGTTTTTACAAGTTGAAGTTACATTGCTTTAATATGGGCATGCTGACAAAAGTGATGTTTTTTTGACCAACTACATATCTGTCGACGCTCAGGTAAATATGTACTCGCTCTATATTAAGAAAGAAGTGAACTGCAAATTTGCACAATATTTATTTATTTATTAATATTTGGAAGAGAGCTTTTTTTGTAGCTCTTTACGGCTCTCCTTCCCCACACACCCACTCTCTCTGCAACACATGTCTTCCAAGATTGCGCTACCGTGCGGATACATACCGCCGGAAGTGGAATTGTTTTAGCAATCAATAATTACACAACTGTTACTATATTAACAATTACTAGTACACAATAAAAATTCACACAAATAAGAAAAAGTGATATAAAATTGAAAAAAAATTATTCATTCAATTGGCAATAAACAAATCTTAGAAATTAGCCGCTTAAAGATTCCTTTGTTTGTCTTAGTATTACAAACACGAACTCTGCCATCCTTTCCTGGAAAGACCTTCACAATTCTACCCATTGGAAAATTACATATAGCGAAATTATCTTCGTTTATCAAAACCATATCTCCAGTTTTAATGTTTTGTTCATCAAGGTACCATTTCAACCTTTGTTGCAAAGTTGACAAATAATCTTTGTGCCACTTTCTCCATATTAATTGCACGGATTTAGTGGTTTTGTGCCATAAACTCAACCTGTTATCAGATACATTGGTTACATTTCGTTCAACAATTGATGTGAACGATCTTCCGATCAGGAAATGGCCTGGAGTGAGAACGCTCAAATAATTGGCTTCTGAAGATAACGGGGTAAGCTTTCTAGAATTTAAAACAGACTCAATTTGAATAGTCACAGTCAAAAAAAAATCCATAAGTTAATTTTTTATCACCCACTGCTCTCTTCAGATGATATTTGAAGGATCTCACTCCAGCTTCCCAGAGCCCTTCAAAATTCGGACTCCTCGGTGACAAAAATTTCCATTTGATATTTTCATGACTCATATAATTACATAACGTTTCATTAGGACTAGGCTAAATAATTGTTGTTGTAACTCATTATTACTCTCAACGAAATTAGTAGCATTATCTGAGTACAGAATACTGCATTTTCTCCTAAGCGAAAAAAATCTCTTTAATGTACCTTATAAATGCTTGAGAACTCAACTCTGTCACAAGCTCCAAATGAATCGCTTCAATGACAAAACATAAAAAAATTGCGACATAATTTTTTTTTGAAAAGTACCTTTTCGTTGGTTCTTGTGTTTACTTGTAAATGGACTGCAAAAGTCCACTCCTGAAGTGGCAAATGGAAAATTTTGACTCAGACGATTTTTGGGCAGATCACCCATAAGTTGATCTAAGTTATTGGTTTAGCTTTAAAGCACGACAAACACTCATGAGCTACTTTTCTACAAATAGATCTGCCATTTATTGGTCAAAATCTTTGCCTTATAGTAAACCATAACGCTTGAGGCCCAACATGCAAATGCTTAATATGATTACTAATAATTGTCAATTGTGTTAATTTATGTTTTTCGGGTAACAATAGGAATTTTTTGTCTCCAGCACTATTAAGAACCTTTGATAATTCTAATTGCAGTTCTCTCGTTTCTCTCAAGGTGTCTTCACCACTCAGAACACCATCCATATACAAATCTCTTTCTAATACATGAGATGCTAAAGGATAGTTCTTATGCTCGTCTCTCGACAACTGAAACAAAACTCTTGTTGCTAAATAGGGTGCACTAACTGTTCCGTAGGTAACTGTTTTGAGCTCATAATGTTTTAACTGGATCATTCACTCCTTTCCTCCAAAAGTTCTCAAGAGTTTAGTTTGACTCTGATCAATTAAAATCATCCTATACGTCTGTCTAATGTCTGCGACAAACGCATAAATATGTTTGCGGAATCTCGTCATAATTTTAAACAAACCTTGTATTACCCCACCGTTATATTATGAGAAATTTAAAGAATTTCCTAAGGTTGTTTGTGAGGACGCATTGAACACTACACGAAGCTTTGTAGTACTTTTATCAGGGCGATAAACTCTTAAATGTGGTATATAATAGGTTCCTATTTCTTCCTCACACTCTGGTATTTCTGTCATATGACCCATATTTTCGTATTCACGTAAAAATTCCCTGTATAATGCTAAATTTTCAAGCTCTTATATAACACGTTTCCACAGTGAATCTAATTTTTAAGGGCAATATCTTTAGATTTCCCTAAACACGTTGGGTCATCTTTTAACGGCATTTTTACTATACTTACCCTGTGCTATCTCTTTTGACATTCCTCAAAGTGCGTTTCACAATTTATTGCTTCTTTGTTCTTGGGTACCCCAATTTGCACATCTTCTATTTCCCAAAATTTCTCGATAGTTTGTTCAAAATCAAAAATTTCTCTAACTAATCCACAATGGATTTTATTATCCTCCATATTTGATATGCTTCCACTAACTAAATAACCAAACACAGAATTTTGGAACACTAAATTCGAATTAGGAGGGTGAATTTGCCCAGGTTTTATTAGCTCAAAAAAGGATTCCGCACCGATTAATAAATCAACTCTCTGTGGAATGTGAAAATACTCATCAGCTAAGTTAATGTTCTCCAACCCCTCCATACTCTTGTTTACTTTTTTTTGAGGGTGTGAGATCAGTAATTCTAGGAACAACTAATAAATTTAGATCACTGTTAAAAGTTATGGCTTTATTTATTAAAGTAACACATACTTGAGACCTAACAGAAATAGCTGAATCATTCAACCCAGACATTACTATGTTTATTTTATTCTTTCTCAATTGCAGTCGATCTGCACATTCTTTACTTATGAAATTAGACATAGATCCTGAATCTAATAAAACACGAACTTCACTCTCATTTCCAAAAGAATCACATAAATAACAAATTGCAATACTCAAAAGAACTGTTTTGTTTTTATTCCAGACATAAATACTCGTGGCAGAAAAGATATTGGGGCCTGTGTTTTGCTCTTGTCATACTGCAGGTGCAATTTCAGAAGCAAGTGGAGACATGGGGGGATTTCCTCTATCAATTTGTTTTTCCTTCGATTCTGAATTCACAATGTTCTCCTCTTTTACATTTGATTGCGCTGAATAATTATGTTCTCGATTAAAATGTAATGAAATATGATGCCTTTTACCATATTTTGCACAAGAATATTTTGATTTACATGACATCACTTTAAGTTTACCAAGTCAATTAAAACACAATTCATTATCTTTAACAAATTGTGTTTTTTCCAACACAGATCATTTCAAATAAATAGAACACATATAAAGGGGTGATCTTCATTATATAAAATGCACTTCGAACTTTTTACATCAGACAAAAAAGTTTTAGATGTATTTCTTTCATTAAGACTTTCATTATAAGAACCAGAACTCTTAGTTAATGGTTTTCCACGAGATGTCATAAATAAATATATTTCCTTTCCTAGTTTAATTGGTTCAAACCAGATGTCCGATTATTTTACGCTTAAATAAGTAGTGGTTTCCCTGTCCAATGTTTAGAAGAGTTTATCAGAAAGTATTAGCTGATTTAATGTTTTAAAATCAGTCACATTTCTTAATTTTAAATTGTACTCCCAACTAGTTGTTAAACGTGATGCAAACTGAACGTACGTTTCATTTAACTGTCGTGTGGTTGTTCTGAAATTGTCCAGACAGAATTGAGCCGCTGGATGAAATTCTCCAAATACCATTTCTTTCACTTTTTCATAATTATTAAAGATCTTCATCACCTATATATGTGATAATATTAGACGATCTTTCACCAAGCAGATTATGAAGAATCTCCAACTTATATTTATCTAGTACACACTTAGCTATAAATGCTCGTTCTAAAGATGCAGAAAAGAATTCCCAATTATTGGGTTTACTAGGCACTTTAATGGTCAATGTTCAATGTACTCGTAATCAAAGAATCTGGAGAATTATTAGATTCAAGTAGCTCTATATCATTCTCTTTTGGCTCAGCACGAATACGTTCAATTTCTAGTTCAGTTTTTGTTCTCTCGAGCATAAAACTCACTAACTGTAATTATTTTGATTCTTCAGACTTGCGCTCTTCTAATGTTAAACTTACAAGATCACTTATAGTTTCAGAGTCAGTTTTAACACAGTCATATTATCACTAATATTTAGATCTAGTTCGCAGGCAATAAGCCTTGAATCATAATTTTTATAATTCTTAAACATTGTAAATTAAAGTATTTCATAAAAGAAATCAATTTGAAATCAGCGACCCAAAAAACCTATAGGTGATAAATTTTTAGAACATTGAAGTTAATTTTCTAATTTTGGCCACATTTTTCTGATTTTGTCCCACTGTGCGGCGCTACGAAACCATGCGGATACAATATCTATCTGAACTGAAATTACTTTTAACTAGCTGTTTTATTCCAGTATGTTTTTCTGTCTATCAAAAATACTCTTAACGTTTAAAAAATGAGCAAATATATTATTTAAAAAAATTAAATCTGAATAATTTCAATTTATATTTATTCTCAGATATATATGATTGCTACCGTTTTATTTAAAGGTTTAAATTGTAAAACAAAGATTTATAGTGCCCATATGTTCTAAAAACTCATCAATAAAAATCGCATTTTTTAAATTATCTTTTTTTTTTAAATTAAAAAATTCATTTTTTGAACATATTTATTGAATGTTATTTAATGAGGTTGGCTTAATATCACATCAACACACAGATTTTTCAAAAGATTAAAAAAAAAAATCAAAATCAGTTATTTTTCGAAGTACTATAATTACACCATATTATTCTATGGTATTATAAATATATTGCTAGTTTTTTTTCGATCAAAATAATCAAGAAAATTAACTGCCTGGGCAGCTGGCTGAAAAAACATACTGTATTAATTAAGAATCACACGGCAAAACAGATACTATTATTCAGCCTTACAAAAATGAATTGTTTTTATAACTTTATATTATTAGTATATATGAATTTCTAAGTAGAATTTATTATGGAGTACATAGAATTAGATTCGCCCCCTGCAAAATGCATCATCGCGCTCTATCTTAGACTTAATTTTTTTTAAATTCTAATATTAAACAAAAACATTATAAAAATCTATTCGGGTTTTTATAATCATTCATTTTATTTAAATTTATCTATTTTAATTTAAATTAATAGTGAATTAATAACTGCGAGGGAAAAGCGGAATTAAGAAAGTACTAAGTTGGAGCATAGTATGCACTTAACAACGTATACGCCATACAAGAACAAAGCAAAACAAAGCAAATCACTTTATTGTGTAAAACGTAAATATTAAAAGCCAATTCTATTTTACTGAAATCGGAAATGCAGTGGTTTTCAAATAGTATTTATTTTATTATATCAATTTCATGAAGTAACATTATACGCCACAGTATTACTTCATGAAATTGATATAATAAAATAAATACTATTTGAAAACCACTGCATTTCCGATTTCAGTAAAATAGAATTGGCTTTTAATATTTACGTTTTACACAGTAAAGTGATTTGCTTTGTTTTTGTTGTTTAGTTTGAAATTAGGCAGTAAAAGTAGCTCTAAATAAATGTAATAATAAATTTCTAAATGAAACTGAAATTTACTTTGATCTCGACAAGCGCAGCTAGGGCAAGGTTTTGTTGAATAATTTATATCACAACCAGAATCACATTTGGGTGGAGAGCACAAAATATCAGAAGGACCTGCAAATAAAAATATTGCTTTATTTCAACAAATTAAATTTCACGCTTAAGAGTCAGTTTCTTTTCGAGTCAGGTAGCATTGGACATTTAATTTTTTTAATTTTTGTTGAACTTTTCAGGATATAATCTTCATGTAAAACACGAGTTTTTGTCACTTATTTTTTTGTTTTAGCGAAAAAAATTCTTGCAGTTTTGGAGGGTCGAAACTGAAGATTCTCTAGAATTTTAAGAAAAACTCAATTTACTAGCAGTGATTCGTTTCGTGATACGAGTGAATCATATCACTGACCATTACTTTCTGTTGACATTAAGTATTAAGACAAATACATTCAGTGTACCTTTGCGACGGAGGTCAAATGTCGTTTAAAACTCTTAGAGAAAAGCTATTTTCTAAAAGCTATTTTACGGTCATAATGACGACCGTGAAAGTGTATTTGTACCAACAGCGAACTACAACAGTATTTATTTATGTGAATACAGACCAATGAGTTGAATGTAAAAAAAAATTAACATATGAATGGAGTATATTTGACGTGACCATAAAATTCCCCTTAAAGCAGTAAGAAACTGAAATTTTGCACTATTTTCAATGGCGTTAACTACCCTCTCCAATGGTAAACCATACTCTATTGCAAGTTAAGAAAACACTATTATCCCTATGGAGAGAGACTGTCTAACTAGGGAAACTAGGGAAGTGTGACTCGCCAATTTTGAAATAAACTAGTGGGATGTATGCCTTATGAGGAATAATTTTAGAGGGCAACATTAGTTTCGACCCATAGAAGGTTCTGTGAGCGATAAAAAATAATTAAATATATAGAAAAATCGGTATTTTATTACTTCAATGCAGACTATTAGTTATTGTAATTGTCTCATACTCCAATTAATTTGTAATTAATTGGTTAATTAATTAGTTAGCAAACTAATAAATTAATTAACAAATTAATTAATTATTAATTAATTTATTTATTAGCAATTACAAGCTCCAATTAATTTGAAAAATTTTTTGAAAAAAAATTTAAAAAATTTGATGCCAATTTTTTTTTAAAATTAACCTAACAGGTTTTTCTGAAAAACTACAGATATATAAAATTTTCGAAATAATTTGACAATAAATATGCATTATATAGTACGTGAAAGTACCACAAAATTAATTGGAGTATGAGATAATTACAATAACTAATAGTCTGCATTGAAGTAATAAAATACCGATTTTTCTATATAGTATTTAATTATTTTTTATCTCTCACAGAACCTTCTAAGGGCCGAATCGAATGTATGCCAAGCTCCCAACGCGAATGTATATCAACATCTCGAACAAGTCTACCGTTTCACAGTCTTCTTTTTGCTTGCTTTACTAAATTATGTAAAATGAGGAAAACAAAATGTATTGAATCTTTCACTTCCAGTAAAATTGGAAAGTTGCATCATATTTAAATGCTACTTTCTGTTCGTATTTAAAGAAACAGACGAAAGAATAATAAATATTGTTTCTTGTAAACGATTTTCTTCTACATCGAAGCAAGAGTAAAAACACTTATTCTTATTTGATTTGATATTGAAAAACACTTAGTCTTACACTTATTTGATTTGTTAAGGGTATGCCAGTCTAGGACGCGCTATTTTTAGAGGTCTTATCAAATCCAATGATCTTGCTTTATATAGTTGTTTCGTTTTCAAGAACGAATATTCTCTTTATGTATCGAAATGTGTTGCCAAGTCTAGGATTCCAGTAAGATTACGAAACTTTAACCTTTTTTTACAATAATAATTCAATGATACGTATCGTAAAAGATTGCACGAATTAAAGTTCTGTTCAACGCGTTTAAATTTTTAAAGTTTTTATATTGTTTCGAATGCACATATATGTTTAAATTGTTAACGAAATAAAACGTTACTATACGAAGTCGCGGATGATTACCCAAATCCTTGGTAAAGATCTTTTCTTAACTTGCAGTATAGCATGAAACGTGTTTAAAAAGAGGCTTTACGTATATGAGAAACAGTGGTCGCAGAAACTACATTATTTCTGTTAAAAGAAAAAAGTGGCACCACGATACAGCAAACTAAGAAAAACTACAGCAGTTTCGCAACTTGTGGCGCGCTACTTCCTATCACTGAGATGAAACAAAATCAATTCATAGATCCATGGTTACTGATTCGAATTTTATCTATATGTACCCTGCACTAGTTGCAACTCCTCCAGACTGAATTGTATTTCAAATAAACGAATTATATCGAAATGAAAATAATTTACATCCTTTTAGTTCATTTGTTAGGGGAAAAAAATTGAAAATTTTACATTTTGCTATTCTAGTGCTTTTTGAGACACAATAATTTTTGCTTTTCCAATTAGAGCGTGGATGGCAAAATTCCGACGCAAGAACAGTCCACATAGAGGCGAGGATTTTCTAAATTTTTAATTCAGAAACAATTCCTCTTGACGATTTCTGTATTCTATTACCCAGTACGGGCCTCAAACACTAGGGATGTATTTTTTTTTAAAAAATTTGAAACATTAACAATGGATCTGAGAATTGAATTTGTTTCTGTCATACCTTAAGGCCATATTCATATCTTAAGACCTTTTATTCCAGCAAACTTTATGTTTGTCGAGTTTTGACGAGGGTAGTTACTGACTTTGAAAAGCAATTTTGAGGTCACGTCAAATATACTTCCCGTATATGTTAATTTTTTAGATATTACTCATCGGTATGTATTCCCAGAAATATATACCTTTTTGGTTGACTGACTGTAAAATTATAAATAAAAGGGCTTTCTTTTTAGAAAAATTTTGAATGACCTTTGATACTTCGATACAAAAGTTCACTGAAAGAACTTAGGTCTTAATAGTTAGTGTGAATGTTAAATGCTTGATTAGCTAAAATAATCACTGTCAATTCCGTGATATACTCTTCCCACAAAAAGAATTGCCACTTGTAAATGTGTTTTTGTCAAAACTCCAGAGGTTTTTCAGCTGTGACCCCCATAAAAAATGTTTTTACGAAAACCAGTTTAATACTTTTACATAATATATACTAAAAATTTTAATAAAATCAAAATTGTCAAGCATCAATACTTGCCTGATTTATCCGATTTTATTTTAACAAATTAGCTCTTTAAACAATTCACATACTTTGATGACGCAGTGTCATCAAAGAAAACTTTTTAGAGAGTAATTTTCCTGTTCTATTTAGTTTTAAGAAGTAAAATTTAAAATCGAGGAGTGAACTTCAAAACAGATATTAAAATTGTAAATTACGTCCCTTTTAATTGCACAGATTATTTTTTACCTGATACATTAATTATGTCAAGTAAACCTTCTAGAATTATTGATTCAATATTTAACTTAAATGCAATTTTACAGCATTTTTTTAATTTTTCTGTACTACATACTGGTAAATTAGACTAAGATTTCTAAAAAAATATAAATAAAGAAATAAAAAAATTTTTAAAAAAAATCTTACTAATTAAATATTGCATTCAAATTTTATGCAAATTTTAAGGAAAGTCTGGAAAAATCATCCAAATACTTATTCCCAGGCAAAGCATTTTTTTTTAAAAATTTGGATCTTCTTTTCTGAGCAGTTGCAGTTTTTGGCAGTGTTTGCAATCGCAATAACACTGAAAATAATAACAATTCAGCAACAAAAAAAATTCTTGAATTCAGTGTATATGTTAGGGTTGTCATGTCTCCTACATTAATCATTGATATATTTAAAGAAGTGTATTATCTGCTTGCAATGATGATGAAAAGTTCAAATTTTTTCGTACTAGAAATAATTTTCTTTCTTCCAACAGCATAATATTAAAAAAACTCATAGCTTTAACAAATATTTTTCAAAGAGTATTTTCATTCGTGATAAAATGTTTGAAAACTAAAACTCTGATCCGATGCGTAATCGCGAACTCCGTATCAATTCAACCTATTCAAGATCATTCAACAGAAATATTAATGGAATTGAGACCAGGACTTTAAATGGAATTGAGAGGAAATAATATTTGAGACTTTAAATGGAATTCAGAGGAAATAATATTTATAGGTCTCTAAAAATGCCTCAAATTTATAAAGTGTTTGGCGAGTAAAACTTTATCCAGGATGATTTTTATATTACTTACTTTCTATCCTAATCAAGTTTTCTTTTTATCTTGCAAAGAAACGAGGTACCTTCACATTTTTTATCATTAACAATCTTAAGCACTGAACTATGCAAGAGTTTATAGTTTGCCCAGATCACATTGATTCCTGGTTACCCAGACAGAACCAGATCTGATGGTTTGCATTGTTTTATTTTATTTATATTTTTTTTTTTTTGCTTTGTGATACATTAAATCCCTTGTCTACAAGGTCACTTCTGTTGAATAACTCAAAGCACGAAATGGTAATAAAATCACACATCTGACGCTAAAACATGTGTTTTTGTTTTTTTCTTGAGATTGCGTGGCTTTTGTGCGTCGATATGCTAGATGACCATACTGAACTCTAATGACCTGTAATTGACCTGTGATGTACAGTGTGCCAAACCCCCCTAAAAAATGGACTACCTTGAATAACTTTTGATCTAATAATCGGATTTTCACGTTCTAAGACTCAACCCTAATGGCTCGAGGGGGTGACCTCACGTATGCTATTTAATAATTGCAGACGGTAGTTAAAGTTACGAAATATGACATAAAAACGTACTTTCTCTGAATAAACGTATCTTTTTTTTAGACGGATTCGGATTAGTAACTCCTAAAATATAGAGGATAGCCGCAACCTGGGAAACAGAGGATCCCAATAGTTTGGACTGGATAGTGTTCCTAAGTTTGGGACCCTTAATCTTAATTTTACTTTTTGCGTATTTCGCTATGTCTCGTGCAGTTCTGAAGCGAATTAAAAAATTTTCGCACACATTTATGAAATTCCCTTTTCCAAAGATAATTCTATGAAAAATTATTTTTATTATTTTATTTTAGAATGACCCAAATAATTTTGAACTGTAAGTCATGCAATTTTTCGTATCATTTTAAAGAATAAAGAATATAAGAATTACATTAATCAAATTTTGTATTTTTGGCAAAATACAAAATTTGAGCAAAATTGGTTGAAGAATATAAGAAAAATTGAATTTCGAAAAAGTCAGATATTTAAAATTATTCGTGATTACTCCGTGAATAACGGCTTGATTGCAGTAATATTGTCAGCACCGCGCACAGACCGCCTTCGTACAAGATGGTAGCCTGAGTCTTTTTTTAGGCTTAGTGTCATTAAGACCTACATTCAGTGCAATCCAATCCGTTGATCTGAAAATGGGTGGACTTCATTTAGCCACTGGGCTCTTTTTTACAATGACAATTAAAGATCTTAACCACTGAGTCATTACAACTTATGGATTTAAAATCTGGGATGCTGTTATCCGCTATTACAAATATTAAAATTTTTGAGAAGGTCACATGATCCATTGCCTTTTTGAACAAGACGCTTTTCTGATACTTATTGCACTGGTGATATGGAGTTAAATACAGTACAGAACCCGTTATCCGGAAATCAGAAAACCGGAAAACCAAAAAACCGGAGCGAAATTCGATAAATTTTCCCGCTATTTTTAAAAAAAAAATTTTTTTTTCCTCATAAGATTTTAGGATTTTTCTTTCTTTTTTGAAAGATGTTTACCCTAGCATCATTTTGGAAATAATTATTATTGTATTACTTCGTTTTTTCAAGATTATTTCCAAATNAAAAAAAAATTTTTTTTTTCTCCAGGGTTTAACAATAAAAAAACGGCTTTTTGTAGCGATTCAGAAAACCGGAAAAATCAGTTATCCGGAATAGTGATGGTCCCGATCGTTCCGGCTAATCGGTTTCCTACTGTATATCATTTTATCTTTTTGTTTTTCTTCCTTAGATTCAAAATAAGCATTTTTCTGTTCCAAATTGTTTTTGGTTTCTTTATTATTTTATTTCGTAGTTCTTCATTTTATGTATTTTTTTTCTATTTAATTTAAGAAACTTGGTCTTTTAAAAAAATATTTCAAAATTTAGTTTGTCAAAAAAATACTATTATTCTTATGTGAGAATTCAGTATGTACCATGAAGATTATGACGAGGAATTTAGATGCGCAATTGGAATAATTTTTGTTTTTTTATATAAACTTAATACTTTCCGATGATTTCGATTCTGTAGTAAACTCTTCTTAAAAATGCTTGAAATATTGTAAAACCACTTTATTGCTTTGGAAAAAAGTAACTTTTTGACTTTTATTCACGTGATAACAGAAAAATCAAATTATCAAAATATGCTGATTTTCCAGTGTGGCCTAAACGCTAAGATGAAAGGTATGTATTTTACGGAATACTTATCGAATTCCCAAATGAATTACCCAAAGATCCACACGTGCAACCTGGACATGGCTTAGATGAGTAGTCAATAGTGCAACCAGCATCACATTTAGGAGGAGAGCACATAATATCAGAAATTCCTGTGAAATCAAGAAAATAAATATTCGATATAGCGTTGAAATGACTTTCACCAAAATGCTTTATAGGAAAATATACAATGTTTTCAAAATGCATTCGAGTCACTTTGCAGATCTCGTACGCAATGCAGATTCTGTGCTGTACAACCACTACCACGTTACATTATACAAGATGAAACACAAGTTAGTGAATAGTTTTTGCTTCTGCTCACAAAGCCTTTACAAACACTGAACATGTAATAAAATAAAATTTAGTTTAATTGGAACACTGCAAATAGTGAAATTTTAAAAAATCACTGATAGTTAAATTACATTAATTTTTGAAAACGGCTTATTTATTGTTATCAATAAGAGAATTGATCTCTAAAAGATAAATAAAAAAAAAAATGCATATTTTTTTTCTTTCACTGCTTTCGTACTTTTTTATAGTTCAGCTTTCTTTATAATAAAACTATTTAACTTGAAATGCTTAATATTTTTGTTTTAAAATTTCATTTTTTATTTATCTAAAGATACTTGCAAAATTCAATTAAATATTAAGTTTCTCAGCTTCACCGGATTTCAGATTTTTTTTTTATAGCTAACATCATGTAGTTAAAACTATTCCAGAATTTTAGGATTTACCGAAGCATATTAGTGTAAATACCTGAGTGCCCTTCATTACCTGTGGTCGATCTGCTCTTTAAAGAAGAGAATAAAATGAACATCAAATCTTTTATAAAAGTTGCTGTATGAAAAATAAATATTTTATACCTTTAAATACAAATCCTCCTGGATGAGTAATTGAAATTTTATAAAAATCTTTATTTCATTGGACAAAAAAATCATTTTAAACTTGAGCTCAGGAAAATTTATTTGAGATTAGAAAAACCTAAATGAAAACTCTGAATATGTGTTGTAATCATTTTACTTTAAAATGTAAGAGCGTGACATCATTATTTTAAAAGTTTGAACTTTTTTACTAAATCAATAACAAAGCTTATTTTACTTTAGGTTTTCAGACAACAAAAAGTGTACGATTCTTCAAAACATAATAAACTATGAAATCAATGCTAAAACTTACAGCAAGAGTCTGTAAATCTATATAACACCTTTCAGAAACTTAATGCATTTCTTTTAAAATTCTTTAGAAACCTTTAAAATGAGGATTTATGTAAAAATTTCGTTCTGAATTTCAATTAAGTGGCATTTTTTTTATTTTGTATTTTTTTATTATTGTTTGTAAAAAATTCTGAGATAAATGCAGCAACGTTACTAGAAAGTTCATAGAATTTCATTTCCCTAAAGAATTTTTCGTATTTCTACAGATATTTTATATGTGAATAATAAAGTTCACTTTAGCTTTAAAATGTAAGATCTGACGAATAAATTAAGGACTACTTTTACTGCCACATCTACAACTCAGGTATGTCTTAGTTTAGTAAACAAAAGAAAATCGTTAAATTATTAAAAATGACTTTCACCACAATAATGAAATTTTACCTTGAGTACCACATCTACAACTAGGACATGGTTTAGTTGAGAAGTCCAAACTACAACCCGGTTCATCACATTTAGGAGGAGAACAGAGAATGCCAGGCGTTCCTACAAATTAAATCTTTACTTAATGATCGTAAAATTTTAACTAATTTGCATGGATTATAAACACAATAAAATGGTATCATTTTGAACCAAATTGTAATAAAACATACACCGAAGAGCCATTAGCCACCCTGCTAATAACATGTAGGACCACCTTCAGCCATCAAAACTGCTAGCACTCGCCGTGGCATTGATTCCACAAGGTGCTGATAGGTAGTCTGAGGTATCTGGTACCAAGCGCTCACCAACTGGTCCTGCAATTCCCTCATATTGCGAGGCGGTAGCGTGGCAGCACGAATTTGGTTTTCCAAGTAGGGCCACAAATTCTATTGGATTAAGGTCAGGTTAATTTAGGGGCCTAGACATGACTTGAAAATCACTAGAATGTTCCTCGATTCGACCCTTATGACATGGTGCATTATCCTGTTGGTAAACACCATCCCCAGCAAGGAAAAACTGTTGCCATGAATGGGTGAACCTGGTCTGCAACTATGTTCAAGTAGCTTACAGACGTCGGGATTGTTCTATGAGGATTATGGGTCCTAATGTGCCCCATGAAAACATTGTTCCTGGGCGAGAAACCATGAAAACCTGGGCGAGCCCATTGTTATAGATGGAGGGTGGTCATAATGTAATGGATCTTCGGTGTATATTCAGGTATCAAGATATAACAATATGTATACAAAAAAATCATAATTTAACATTGCTCTTGAAATTAAATGAATGCTTTATAATTTATGAACTACCCGATAATCTATACATAATAATAAACACGGCTGTGTGTGTGTCTGTTTGTCTGTCTGTAATCACAATATATCGCCCCAGAAGCCTCGCCCAGGCACGAAACTCGGCACATAATTGTGTTTTGACATAATGAAGAAGTTTTTTTTTCTTTTTCAAAAATTTGGATTAGTTTTTTAGTTATCAGTCATTTTGTAAGAAAATCTATGCTTTTTCGTCTTCAAAGAGCCATATTCAAAAAACTATTAAAAAATGCATATACTTTTCTCCACTCTTATAAATGTATGCTAATGCGAACCTTACAATTGAAATATTAATTTTCGACAACTTAAACCAATAATATACGAAGGAATTAATAATTTAATTGTAAGG